TTGCCCGTTTCAGTTTGCGCAGGAAGTAGAGGCGCTGTTGTGCCTTCTTTGCCAGTGATGTGGTGTTGGTGGTCCAGGAGAGGTCCTCGCTGATATGCACCCCCAGAAATCTAGTGCTGCTCACTCTCTCCACAGCAGCACCGTTGTGTGTTTGTGTACACTGCGCTTGTGTACACAGCATCACTGTATGTTCTGTACATGTGAAGGTATTGACAATAAAGCTGACCTTGACCTCTAGTAGTGGTAGTGGTGGTTGTAGAGGAAGGAGTGAAGAGGTTAAAAGGTAAATGTACAGTGAGACACAGACACGCAGTGGAGTTAGAGGTTTGTGGGGGGGCAGTTTTGTGGGTAGCAGAGTAAGACATGTATGCGAGTGTAGGAGGAGTTGTGTGAGTTGATGGAAGTGGGGGGCAGGTGGGCGGTGGTTGTGTGGTGACTGGCGAGATGTGCGGGGTCAGTGAGTGGAGGAGCAGTGTTGAGAGGTGGGGTTCATGACATCAGAGTGGTGTTGTTGCTAGTACACAGTCATAGTGAGTAGTGGGAGTAGAGGGGAAGGTGTGGGTTAGGGTGATGACTGGATGATTATGGCCTCATGATTAGCAAGTGAGTAGTTGGTAATGGTGGAGTTGTTTGTAAAAAAAAAGGTGTTGTTGTTTAAGTAATGATTAAAATAAGAGTATGTGATTGATGGTGTAATAAATAGTATGTTGTTTATATATGGCAATAGAGTGAAATGTATGTTTTGTATATGTTGTTAATGGTAAATGTGAGAAGGAGAAATAGTTTTGTTAATGATGTAAATAAAGAGATGGAAAGCAATAGTAGTTTGTTGATTTGTGTGTTAGTTGTGATTGGTTGTGATTGGTTGTGAGTAGTAGATGATGTGGTTGGTGTGTGTTGAGTGAGTGAGTGGATGAGTGTGGGTAAGTATGTGTGTGTGTGGAAGGTGAAGGTGTAGTGGTTATGGTATTGGGAGCGGGTGGTTGGGGTGAGATGGGAGTGAAAAGGTAGTGGGAGGTAGTGGGAGTGTAGTGATGCAAAGGTGGTAAGAGTGCTATTGTGAGTGTAGTGATGCAAAGGTGGTAAGAGGTTACATGGGGTTGTGAAGAGGCAGGAAGTGGGGAGGCAAGGAGGGCGTGGTATGATGGTGGAGCCACAAGGTGTTGATGGGCACAGTGGCAGTTTGGTGTGCAGGAGCCTTCCCCCAGTGTGTGTAGGAGAGGGCACAAGGAAGGTAGTAGTGAAGGAGCTGCAGACAGGATGGTAATTGGGCAGTATGCATGAGAAGTGTGTTAGATGTTTGTGGTGGAAGCAAATGGGAGGGTGGATTGGGTGATTGAGTGATTGATTGATTGGGTGGTTGGTTGGTTGGGGCCATGGGCTGTAAGTGGCATGTGTGTTGGGCAAGTGATCAGTGGTAGTGCTTAATGGAAATGTGAGTGTGACGTGGTAGTTAGAGTGGGTTCCCTGGTGTGTACTGAGTGGTTGGTGGGGTTGTGTAAGTAGTATTTATAGTGAGTTAGCAAAGTGTGTTAAAGCAAAGTGTGGTGAAGCATAAAGTGTTATTTAAGTGTGTTAAATAATGGTGTGCTTGACAGGAGTAGGTACCCGTAAAAGGTGTTTTATTGTGTAGGTAAATAAAGGATCTTTAAGATTGTTTTCTAAGTGTCAAAGTAAAAGGAGCTGCAGTCCTCATACACTTTAAGACTTAGGTGAGGCAACTGTGTCGAAGCTGTTGGTGTCTGTGGTGCACCGCGCAGTGCGGCAGTTAGATGGCAATAGTGGTGAGTGAAGAATGTAATTGTCAGCACCAACAGGCTGTAAGTTGATGTGGACTGGGGAGTTGTGGTGAAGGAAGGTGTAGTTAGTGTGTGGCTTGCTTTGTGACAACACATGTGTGATGTGGTGTTGGGAGTGTGGGCAGACAGAGGCACAACAGACAAGCAGCAGGTTTATTATAGTTTATTGAAGAGGTAAGAGACATGAGGTGAGGAGCTGTGGGAGAGAGAGTAGCAGGGTAGTTTGAGACAAGAGGTTGGCATGCAGCACATGGATCCAGTTGTTTGTGCGTCATGCTAGTAGCACATGGCCGTGGGTGCTAGCATGTAGCTGTGATGTAGTGGAGTGCAGCAAGGTGCTGGGAAGTTGGTTGTCTTTGGAGAAGGTTCCTGAGTAGGAGAGAAAAGGCAAATGGTTAGATGTTGTAGGTATACCTTCATGTTGGGGGTTTTGTGGAGACCTGTTGGTGGTTGGGCTCAGTTGTGTAGCAGGAGGTTGGTGGAGGGCTGTAGCTCCTGGGTGTGTCTGAAAAGAGAAAGTTTGGTTAGAGGTAGTTGTTTGAGGTGTAACCTTCAGGTTGGTCTGTAGGTGTTGTGGAGGGTTTAGGCAAGAGGGTGGGGACAAAGTGTTGCAGGAGTAGCCTGCAGAACTGTGAAGCCAGGTGTGTTGGTGGACACCGAGCACATGGCCTGGATACCCAGCCATGTGCTCAGTGTTGGTATGGCTGCATGCTAGTCGTGCTGGAGTTAGCAGCAGGAGTAAATTACAGGCATCTCAACATGTGTGTTGGTAGACGTGCAAGCA